CATGTATTGAGTGAATACGCAATGAATCGCTATTATAAAGGGCAAGTTGTTTGAGATGTACAAGCAGGGTTGGTCAGCTTGAATGATAAATCCGAAGTTGATCGATCCCCTTAGGAGTGTATCTGGATATAGCTAAATAGAACATCATGGGTTATTGAGAATTCTACATTTCGCATATGTTGTAAAAATCCACTACTACAGGCAGCGCGAGTGTAAAGTCATGTTCACCCAGTTTAATGCATGTACTACATTTCTACCTGTTTATATAATCATTTCTTATATTGTGCTGAGATGAAACTCCCATCTCGAAAGCACATGCTTGCAACTGTAGTGGTCGTTCTGGTGTACTCTTCGCATTGCGAAAAGTTGGTTGTGAACCACTGAACTGATTGTCTCCACAATTCTTTGTCTGCGCACGATCTTGCAAGCCGATACTTCTTGGTCGTCAGACTGATCTTTCCACTTATTCTACTTGTTGCACGGTATTATTACATACAAGGCACCAGTGCATGTGGTAGGGTCGGCCTGTACTAGTTCTGCACTACACAAAGCGCAGTCATTGAACACCTGATCACTTTCTACTCTCTGCGCCTCTTTGTGCATGTGTGAACACACTCTGCGACACAATAGCTAAATGTAACACCCTGCTTATGAGAGTTTACTTGTACCTGTTGCCATATGCGTGCAGTTGTTGAATATAACAACCTCAGAGGCAGACGATGAAGGGAACGTGATCGGCGTACTGGCTGCATTCGCGTATGTAGCAATATTTATATTCACTCATATGTGTATTTGTATGTACGGGTCTAGTAAGTACAACTGAGCATAATAACAGTAGGTACAATTGAACATAGCAACAGCATGTACAACTGCACATTATAGCAGTGTATAATCCTAGTTCGTATCAGGAGTTCCTGTCATCTCTTTGTCTTTCATACGGCGATCGTAGCGGAATGCAGTTTTTTTTTGTTGAGTTAATCATACATGTGCACGTGCAGGGACAATCTTCAGCCAGTGTGTGCATGCTAAGCACCTGCGCATTCACACAACGGAACAAACCGACAGGATGTCTATGTGTATATTGTTGTCACATGTACTCTCGATATCCGATGTACGCCGTGGCGCAATTACAGAGATATCTTTCACTCATTTCTATCTCTCACACACACGCACATACGCACACACACACACACACACACACACATACATACATATATATATATATAAATATATATATATATCTATATTTGTATATCTATATTTATATATCACAGGGATAATCTTCAGATCAACAAGTGTGTCATTAGCACTACACATGCACACAACGGCACCGACGCGACTCCCCACAATGTGACGAGCGCTACGGAGGGTCACGCTGGCTATGACGGTCAACCGGGCTGTGAAGCAGGCATACACGTGGCTGGTGCTGGCTGTGGGGCTTGCAGGTATAAATTTATAATAGCTGTGTCTAGAATACACTTATCAACAAGAATGTCGTTATTAGTGTAGATGTGATGGTATCATCCATATATACTTATATATATACATACACACACACACACACACACACACACAC